GGGGGGGGGCTCTGAACCCACTTCAGCCACCTGTGCCTCTGCTAAGGAGAAGGTCTGTTTTCCCCTGTAGAGAGGGCGAGCAGCTCCCCTGCCAGCCAGGACACCCTGCCGTTCTGAACTAGGTGAGCAGAGAGACCCTTCAATCATGGCGATCAGAAGGACATCTCCATTCTACAAAGGTAGGCTTCCCTCCCGTGCAGCCAGTTCACCCTGGGAAAGTGGAGCCCAGAGATGGCTTGGTGGGAGAAAGATGGAAAACAGACTGGCCCAGATGCTGAAAACGCACGTGGGCTGGGGTCGCGGGTCATGGCGATCCCTTGTCCTGCGTGGGTGGATCCCAGCGCTGCAAACGCAAGTCCCCAAGCCAAGGGGACACCAGGACCTGTGAGACATATTTCTCTGTAGCCAGCCGCCTCCCCTGTGTGACTTTCTGCTTCTCTTCCTCCTGGGCTCTAAGGCGTGTGGCAGTCCAGGGCTCTGTGCTGGGGCTGTGCTCGCCCATTTGGTGAGGAGTTCTGCTTCCTCACTGATGAAGTCTGAACACTGGAGAAGCCGTCAAGGCAAGCATGTAGAGCAGGGTTTATTCAGAAGGTCGTAACCCAGAATTCTCCCGGGAGGAGAACGGGCCCTAGCTTGTATCCTGGTATCCCAGGAAGTGAGGGTGTCCTGCCCTTTACACATCCTGGACCTTCTGTGTCTTCCTGCCTTCTTTCCCCTATCTTTCTCCTTCCTGCACACCTGAGTAGGCCCAGGAGATGTCCTCAGTGGAATGGCCAAAAGGTGAGAAGCCCCTGGGCAGGGGGAAGGGCTAAATGGAGTGATGGGGGAAGGAAGCCGGCCTGGAGAAGTGAATGAACAATGTTTACAACTCCCTGTAGGGAGGGACAATTCCTGGGACAGGTTCTTAGCCCTGGGTTGGAGCAGAGCTGAGGAGGAAGGGCTCTAAGGCATGGACATGTCAGTACCTCGGGGCAGTCTCCAACTTCCCAGACCCAAAAGGGCCTTCCCTCTCTCCTGCTGGATTCCTGTCTGCACACACTGCCTGTCTTTAATTCTGGCTTCATGACTTCTCTTCCTCTAGAGCTCCCCTGTCCCTGGCTTTAACCTCAGGACTGGAATCGAACTTGAACCTGAGTTTCAACACAGCACATTCACACCAGAACAGTGCCTGGGCCACACTGGGAAATGCCTCCTCCCATCCTCTGGTGTTCACAGCTCTGGGGACACAGGGATCTAGGTGGCTGGCACCTTTGTGCAATCAATCCATCAGTCAATCTCAGTGCCCCTTTCTCCTCCCTTCCCTGGCCTAGGCAGGTGGATGGTGGGCTGGGCTTCAGATGGGGTCTCAGTTCTTATATTGTATGGGAAACCCTTGTTCCTCTCTGCTGCTGTCCTTGACACCCACACCAATCCATTCTGTGACCAGATCCGGGGCCGGGGAGGAGATTCCCACACCAAACAATCCTGCACTTCTTAGTGAGGACCAAGGGCTGTCCTCCAGCTAATCAATTGTGACCTACCAGGGGCTAGCCTCAGGGTCCTGCGAGCTGGGGGCTCAGGCCCAGCAGACCCTCCCACTCAGAGGCCAGTCCCAAGTCCCAGCCTCTGCCAGAGTGGCGTCCGGCTCCTGGAGCCCGCCCTCCTGGCGAGCATACAGAGCAGGGTTTATTTAAAAAGGGGTAAAATAGACTTCTCTCACGAGGGAGGAGGGGCCATGACTGGCACCGTACAAGTCAAGGAGTCGTGCCTTTTATTGGTCCTAGGCCTCCTTTGTCCTCCTGCTCTCTTCCCCTTATCTCTCTCCTTCCTGCTACCTGACCGGGCCCAGGAGTTGCAGGGTGGGGTGGCCAAAAGGTGAGAGGCAGGTGGGCTGGAGGGGCCAAGGTGGAGTGTTCTGGGCCGGAAGGGGGCATAATTAACAACTCCCTGTGGGGAGGGTCGATCCCTGGGACGGGTTACCTTAGAACAGGTTGGAGCTGGGGCAGGTGATCTGGATAAGGTGGAGTAAGGCTTGAAGTCATGAGCACTTCAATCCTCCATTCTCTGGATCTGACCCTTGCCTATCTGCCTGTCTAGTTCTGGTTTCAATTTTATTAAACACTATAAGTCACAAAATCAGACCTAATATTCGTATGTCCTCGGGCATACAATCTATACAGTCTTTATAAACGCCTTAGCATGAAAAAAGGATTTTTTTTCTTTAACTGGGGATTGAACCCCGGGGTGTTACCCACCGCCTTTTACTGTTTATTTGGAGGTAACAATGATGCTCTGGAAATCGTAGGGTCACCAGATGAAGATCTGTCAGATGAAGAAAACTATTTCTTGAAGTATCATAGAGAACAATTTTTGAAAGATTTCCCCAAGTGGAAACAGGAACAAGAAAAAATTATCAGAGAGCTCCGTGCCCGGGCAGATGAGGTTGACGCCACCCATGAACAAACCAACAAGATCAACATGGTGGCCCACACCACAGCTGTCTTCTCTAGAGCCATGAGCTTCTTGGGGATTGCCCTCGCTCCACTGACCACAAGAGGAAGCCTCACGCTTTCAGCTGCCGGCAAAACTTTGGGGGCAGCAGCTGGGATCACCAGTGATGTGACCAACCTGATAGAAGGGTCCTGCAATAAAAAAGTTAAAGCTCAGGCCACCGGGCACGAGCCTACCAGTGAGCCAGAGTTCGAGCAGGTGGATGAGAAGTCCATTTTCACAGCTATTACTAATATCATGGACAAGTTTCAAGACACCTCCAAGAGTCTCAGGAAGAGCAGGCGTGCCTACAGGGTAGCCCAAGCCAAGCCAAGCTTGGCTAAGGCTGCCAAGCATCGCCTGACAGGTGGCAAAGTCTCAGGCAAAACCAGCAAGTATGTGCAAAAGGCCTTTGATGGCACACCTCTGGGAATGACCAAAAGTGCTCTCTTGGAGGGAGGTGCAGAGACGGCTGTCCACCTCGTCCGGGATTTGTGCAATCTCTCTGATACCTGGAAGAAACTGAAGGATGGAGACAGGGCACAGCGGGCAAAAGAACTAAGGGCCCAGGCCCAGGAGCTGGAAGAGCTGGTGACACAGTACAGCCACCATTATGAGCGGCTACAGCAGGTGAGCTCAGGATGTTGGAAGGGGGCTTTGGCCCAAATCCATGGAAACCAAGGTTGTCCAGAAGGGTTTAAGGGAGTGTGTGCTTGTGAGTGTGGCAGTGAAGTTTGCATGGATGTCCTTGAGGACATAGCATATGGTGGCCCTGAAGGCCCAAACTGTAAGAGGTTCCCCTGGAGATGGCAGTCCTGCACAGACCTGGTCACCTGTTCCCTCTCCCTTAAGGCTCCTTTAGGACCCCGTGCCAGGAAGAGTATCTTCCTGGCTTTACACAGGAGGTCACTGAGCCATATGGAGTGCTCTGGACTCAGTTATGTCCCCCTCAAATTATTCATCAAACACCTAAGCCCAGTGCGGCAAGCTGGGGGTGGGGCTTGGGGACGTGACGAAGGTTGAATGCAGACCTAAGGACAGGCCCTAATCTGATGGGATCAATGTCCATATAAGAGAAGGAAGAAGCTAGAGAGGGTCCCCCTGCCCCCAAAGCACCACACCGAGAAGCCCTTTAAGGGCACAGAGAAGGCAGCCACCTGCCAATAAGAAAGAAGAAACCCCTGCTGGGAGCACAGTGGGCCAGAACCCTGACCTGGGCCAACACCCTGACCTGGCCAGCACCCTGACGTGGGCCAGCACCCTGACCTGGGCAGCACCCTGACCTGACCAGCACCCTGACCTGGGCCAACACCCTGACCTGGGCAGCACCCTGACCTGGGCCAGTGCCCTGACCTGGGCAGCACCCTGACCTGGGCAGCACCCTGACCTGGCCAGCACCCTGACCTGGGCCAGAGGCCTCTGGAACTCTGGGAACTACGTGTCAGCTCTATGAACCACTCTCTCTGTGGCCTTCCATCATGGCAGCCAAGACCAGCCTGACAGGGGGTGACGTGGCTGGCCAGTGTCCCCCTCTGCTCCAGCTGCTCTAACAGTGTATGTAGACCAGGTGACTTGTGAACAACAGAAATGTGTCCTGCCCAGTTCTGGAGGCTGCACGGCCAAGGTCCAGGTGCCTGCAGAGGCAGGCTTGGTGCTGGGGAGGCTCCCACTGCGTCACAGAAGGCCCCTTCTTGTCCTTCCTCACCTGGACGGAGGGGCAAGCAGGTCCCTCAGGGCCCTCTCATAGGAGCCAGTCCCACAGGTGAGGCCCCGCCCTCATGGCCTGTCACCATCCCAAGGCCCCGCCTCCTAGGGCCAACACTTGGGGGTTAGGGGTTGACCTGTGAATTTGGGGGAACACAAATATTCAGGGCCTAGCACCAAGTTCCCCAGGATCTTCTGTTAGCTGCAGGGCGGGCTGAACTGTCAACCCCACTGTCTGGCTCCTGACCGCTTGTTTGCCTCAAGGCTGAGCACTCAACCCCCAAGACCCCCACTCACCTGGTACAACAGAAACCCACATCCCGCCCCTGCCCTGTCAGCCTGAGAAGCAGAAGGTGACACCCTGAGCAACTCCTGTGTGATCCTGTCACTGCAGGCCACCAGGCAGCTCGCAGACCCAGAGACCCCACTAGATTTTGGCTATAAAAACTCTCCTGCCTGGGGTTGTGGCTCAGTGGTAGAGTGCTCGCCTAGCGTGTGCGAGGCCCTGGGTTCCATCCTCAGCACCACATAAATGAAGAAAATGAGGATGTGTGTCCAACTACAACTAAAAATAAAAAAAATAAAAAATTCCTCCTGCTGCTCGCTCTCCTTCCTCTTTCCTGCTGTCTCTCTCTCCTCTCTCTCTCTCTCTCTCTCTCTCCCCCCTCTCTCGGAAAAACAGACCCCACCGCAATAAAGATCTCTTGGTCTCACCGAGTGTCTGGTCACTTTCCTTTCATTTTCCTTCTCTCTTTTTTTCTCTCCCACTTCCCTCCTTGTCTCTCTCTCTGGGGACTGAGCCCAGGGGCACTTTTATCCTGAGGTAAACCCCAGTCCTTTTCATTTTTTTAAATTTTGAGCCAGGGTATCACTAACTGATCAGGCTGCCCGTGACCCTGGGATGTCCTGCCTCAGCCTGCCCCATAGCTAGGATTTCAGGAGTGGTCAGTGCATTTAGCTCTTTTCATTTTAAAATTAATGACATGTAATAATTGTACTGTGTTTTTTTTTCTCCCAGAAACTCTATTTTCGTTCTATGTTGTTGCGTTTTGTTTTGTTTTGTTTTGTTTGTTGTGTTTTGTATTTCCTCCCACAAATTCTTGAATTCTTGACAAGAAGAACAGAGCAAAATCTTTTGTCTTGGGAAAGCAACAGAGACTCAAACTCAGCCTCCATCCGAGGCGCAGGACAGGTTCCAGGGCCAAGTGAAGCAAAGCAATTAACCTAGTTACCCAGGAGCGCCACTCGGAGGGACCAGAACCTGCTGCCCCCCTCACAGCACAGCGAAGGTCACGGTGAGCGGGAGACCCAGGTGGAGTGGCAGCATGAGGGCCCTGGCAGGCGCAGGCGCAGGCGCAGCTGAAACCCCCACGCATGCGATGACTTCGAGACCCCAGCCCTGCGTACCTTACAAGCACTATAAAGCTACACATTTCTGTCTTTTGGTTGAGTGTAAGGATGGCCTTAGGCCTTAGCCTAAGCAACTCCATTTTAAAATAAATCTGCATGCTCACCAGGCAAGCCACAGAGCCCTCAGATCGTCAATCAGGCACAGCCTGATAAAAGCAAGTCACTTTCCACAACCCTGATAAGAGCCAGAAGGATATCAGGGCGGAAACCACAGACCATATGTCCATTCTAATATGTAAGATGTCACTAAGTAAACCTGGTAACAGCTGATAGGGACCCAAAGGGCGAGCAGAAGCTCCCAAAATTTAGTATAAATAATGGAACAAATGAACATTCAGCCAGCTGACACCGATGCCCACATGCCAGAGACCCTCATGAGGACCTGGACTACACCCCAACTCTTCTCATCATCTGCCTGATCCTCTGCATCGTCCTCACCACTTGCAAACTCGACAGCTGCCTCTTGATCCTAGTGGGAAAGGCGACTTCTCCTTATGCCCATCTCCTCAGCCAGCCACCAACTCACACCAGGAGAAGCCTCCATCAGCTCCTGACCTGCTCTCTGCATCTGAGTGCGTGGGCATCTGCTGGACTTAAGGCCTAAGACTTGAGACTTTAAATCTAGCACCTAAACTCAGCATGCAGAGGGAATGTCTGTAACAGGTCTGTCAGGATGAAGTGTGTTTGCAGTGCTCAGAGTTAACTTAGAATTGTTTGCTTTGAATTGATTTGTCTATAGCAGTGCCCAGCATTAAAGATTGTCATTCCTTGATTAAGAACCTATAGAATGAAATTGTATTAAGTGATTTGAGTGAATAAAATATTGAAAAGGGCAGAAGTGCATGGATATTCTTTATCTCTCCTTTCGAAAGCAGATGTCACACTTTTGCCCATTGCGACATTGAATCAGGCCTGGATTTCCGTCCTCCCCCCTGCTCCAGCCTAAGAATAAAGAGTCTCACTCCTGTGTCCTCTGCAGGGTCTGATTCTTCTGATGGGAGCACAAGTGAGAAGTTAGCTCTCCACCAGGTGGCCTGCCCCACAGGGTCCCTGCTGGCTCAGAGCCAGGTTTGCACACAGTGGGATGTCCCTGTCCCTGGAACCTGCCCCACCAGGGCACTGTAGGAAGGAAGGGGGCCCAGGAGCCCTCTGTGTCTCCCACAACCAAAATCCTCCCATGTCCTCAGGACTGCTCAAGTCCCCCTGTCTGTCCCGTCCAGTCACCCAAAGATGACTTTTCTTTCCTGTGCTTTAGCTGCTGTTTTGAGAGTCAGCCATGAGCTTTACATGCGATTTTTTCTTTAAAGAAAAGAAAGAGGAAGCCACACTGGCCAAAGGTGACAGCAGTTGCTATTCTTGCGTGGAATTTCCTTCTGTGCTTTTCTTGCTTTGGGTTTTGAAGTGCTGGCTTTGCAAGACCCTCCCTGCAGGCCGCGTGATTGGCGTTTCTCTCTATTCCCAGGCCCCTCATTTGTCTACAGAGCTGTCACTTATCATCCTGCTGCTTTCACGAAGCAGAAACATCTAATATTCCACGCCTTCATTGGTTTTCATAGGCAGTTTTCCCACATCTTTTATGGGTGCGCTATCTGTACATAATGACGGACTTGTTACTCATCCGTTCATGCACACAGCACAACAGGACTATTTGGCCAATGATCACTCCCCTGCCCTTCCCCCTCCTTCCCCACCTCCCAACCCTGGTCCCTCTCCTCCACTGGTCTCCCTTTGATTTTCATGAGATTTCCCCCCCCACACACACACCTTTCTTTTCCTATTTCCTCTCTAAAAACTTCCACACAGGAGAGAAAGCGTACAACACTTGACCTTCTCAGTGTGGCTTATTTCACTTAATATAACGTTCTCAAGTTCCTTCCATTTTCCAGAAAATGACATAATTTTATTTTTTTTTATGGCCCCATTCTGTATATACGCCACATTTTCTGGATCCATTCTTCTGATGATGGACACCGAGGCTGGTTCCATAGTTTGGCTACTGTGAATT